ATTTCTCCAAGTTTTTCATTAAGGGTATTAAGCATTGGAAAATTTAAATTAATTCCATTATTCTAATTGAGCAATGGTAACTCGATCAAATTTCTAGCTCTATTAACTTCTGAAATTTTGAAAATGAGAAATTGATTTAATTTCTGAAATATTTTCTGGATGTTTTAGAAGGGATTCTTACACTATAAAACTTAACTGCATAATTAGAAGTATTAACATTCAGCTATTTCATTCTTGGTTCTCATCTGCTACAGACCCTGGGAGGCAGTGGTGGCTCATGGGCTGGAATTCTGCCCCCACAGGGAAGGCCTGCACTGAATTCCTGGCTCCTGCTGTGGGTATTTGGGGGATGACCCCGAGCATGGGAAGCTCTCTCTCAAATTAAAAATACATAAATAATAACTGCCTGATGGTTTTTCAAAAAGAGGTCTGCAGATGAAGTTCTTTATGTAAAATGGTGACACACTCGCCCAGAGCCTAGGTGCATCGTCTCATATACTTTCATTTTTACATTCCTTAAAATGCCTAATAAAGTCATTACATAAACTGTGCTGCTCACACGGATGAGGAAAGTCCCTGTGTGTGCAGTACTGACAGCATTCTTTTTTAAATAGCTTCAATTACATGACTCTCTTGATGAGCTATCCAAAGCTATGAGGGGTCAGCTGCATTTCCTTACTTGTAGAAATGGAGATAAGATCACATATTTTTAGAGGACTGAAGCAAAACATTTAAAAGCCAGACACAAATAAATGGCCAATAGATATGGCATTTATTATTTACTTTCTTTTGGATCTAAAGGTAGTTCAGTCTCATGAGATTTAAGTTTGAATCATATCACAAAAATTGATTTTTAATACAGATTCTAAATATGAATACTACATAAATTAGGTCAATGGATTCCAAACAACCTAAGAACTCTAAAATTCAAGTCCCCTCCTTTGCTACATTTATTCCAGCCTGGACACAGTGTTGTACCTGCAACGGCAGGCATCTCACATGGACACCGGTTCAAGCCCCAGCTGCTCCACTTCTGATCTAACTTCCTGCTAATGTGCCTGGGAAAGTAACAGCAGGCCCAAAGCCTTGGGCCTCTGAGCCCAGTGGGAGCCCAGTGGGAGCCCAGTGGGAGCCCAGTGGGAGCCTGATGGAGCCCCTGCAGCGTCTGCCCACGCGGCTCCGCTGTTACAGCTGAAGGGTGAAGCAGCAGAGGGAAGTTGGATCTGGACCTCTCCCTCGCTCTCATTCCCTCTCTAGAACTTTGCCCTTAAATAAATCTTTTTTTTTTTAAGATTTATTTATTTTTATTACAAAGTCAGATATACGGAGAGGAGGAAAGATAGAGAGGAAGATGTTCCTTTCGATGATTTACTCCCCAAGTGTTCCGCAACGGCCGGTGCTGTACCGATCCAAGTTGAGAGCCAGGAACTTCTTCCAGGTCTCCCACGTGGGTGCAGGGTCCCAAGGCCTCCCTCGACTGCTTTCCCAGGCCACAAGCAGGGAGCTGGATGGGAAGCGGAGCCACCGGGATTAGAACCAGCGTCCATATGGGATCCCGGCGCGTTCAAGGGGAGGACTTTAGCTGCTAGGCCATGCCGCCGGGCCCTTAAATAAATCTTAAAAACAAAAAAAATCCTGACAATACCTACGATACTATAAGCCAGTATAAGTACTCTACTGATATAACTTATTATAACTCTATTTCTTGAAAAACTACAAAGTCTCACAATCTAGATAGTTATGCAAGTAATCACCTATCTCAATCACCTCCTCGCTCTAACTCCTACCAGCCTCAGCAAGTGGAAAAGGAGATAAAAAGTTTATTTAGGCAGTATCTAGCTGCAGCAGCAAAAAAAGATCAAAATCATCAAGGAATATTTGAGGATTGAGGGGACTGATTATCTGTGTAATGCAGCACCCATTAGGATGAAGGAAGAATACAGATAACCAAGCTCATGACTGCAGCCTAAGTTAACGCCAGCTTCCTTCCTACAAACACTATAGATCAGAAAACTGACCTATTCTGCTTCCGAGCACAATAACAAGCAGAGCAGCCATATTCAATCTTGTGTTGTTGGTACAAGAAGCAGCACATACTGTAACATAAAAGGTAGAAAATAAAGCAGCACTTGCACATTGCCCCCTCCCTAGCAGAAGGGCCATGTATATTTCACGGGGCACACCTTGCTTCTATCACCTTTGCTACACAGCTTCCCCCTCCTGATTTTCTTAGAAAGTATACAAGATTTACCACTCTGAGTCAGGTGCCCAGGCAAAAGTAGAAAATCATTTGAGAGGTTCATCAAAATATCACCTTACCATTATTCCTACATGAGCACAGACTCGCACCTTCAAAAATGAATCCCCTGCGTGAGCACTTCAGAGCTAACAGCTCCCTGTGGACATATGTCAGTCTTTAATAACTACACTCAACCCAGTCCAACATCCCTTCAGCCATTATAAACAGTGCAGGTGTAATCTGAACCAGTGTGGCTATCTAGGAACTGCTCAGCAATATTTACCATCAAACAAAAGAATGCTGCTCTGGATTGACTTTTACAAATGAGGCACTAGGCACCAATTGTTCTGAAGGCTAATCAAGATAAAATAATGAAGACCCGCACTGAATGGACAGGAAAATCTTGGCCGTGTGCGCTTTACCTCAAGCTGCCAAGGGTCACGGGCCTCTTCTAGCCTGCAGCCTGAACCAAGGCCTGTCCCCACAGGACTGCCAGACTCCTGCCTCCCGTGAGGCACTCTAGTCTTCCCCACCGCAGCAGGAAAATCACCAAACTAAAGACAAAGCAACTTTAGACTGCTCGGTCCTCTGTGCCTAGCACACATCGGGGCACTTAGCTGCTAAAGGTATGTTAAACAGGCACAAAATGCTGACAACCAAAAAAACAAATAAATTAATACATATATAAGAGCTCATGTTATAGAAGAATCTAGCTCTCTGGCACGGCTGATTTGAAAGTTCAGACTCTGAAAGCCAAATGGACTTGTCCAGGGACAGAGCCTCTGGAGCACGGCCATGACTAAACAGTTCTCGGCCAGGGCTGTGTGTCCCCTTCAACTGCTCAGGCTGCCGAGTCATCACTCCAGCCCCTTCCCACCACAAAGTACAAAGACACAAAACTGCGTGGAAAAGGCAAAAAAGGATTGAAACCACACACACAGCCACTTCATGACTGCCACTCAACCCTATGATTTCTCACACACGGTGGAGTAGCTGCCTTCAAACATTATCAATCTTAATATATCTCTTACAGTGACTTCATGAGGTCACAGTTTTGGTATCAAATTAAAACATCTTAAGTATGCATTGCCCTGGCACCTCACTGTAGCTGCAATAACATGGCACTGCTATTATTAACTTCCACATTAAGAACCATCATCCCAGGTTGCTCCACCAGTTACATGTATGTCACACCTAACACAGTTACACGACGGGGACAAAAATGCTACTTTTTCATTCGAATTATATACCCACAAAGAAAACATTACATCAATTATGGTCACTACAGTCTGAAATTCCTGCAAAGCCATTGACAAAAACACAATCTTTGAAAAAAAAAAAGATGAGAGTATGGAAGCGCAGTGTTTCAGCTGAAGGAAATTATGCTGCACAGCCTGCTAGCAACGGAGCGAAGCCGAGAGGGCCGGATCCGGGGATGGCCTCGCATCCCCCGGTTAACAAGCCGAATCCCAGCACCACCAGCCCGAGCCCTGGCTGCTCCGCTCCCAATCTAGTTTCCTGCCAAGGCAGGCACGGACGGCCTGGGTTCCTGGGTCTCTTCTCCCCAAGTGACACCTCTACGGAGCTGCTGGCTCCCAGCTCTGGCCTGGCCCAGCCATTGGGGAGTGAACCAGCTGACAAAAACATCTCCCTCCATCACTCAGCCTTTCGACAAATCAATCTCGAAAGAAACGAATTACGTGATTCTTCCAAGTGCTTTGCAACTAAAAATCCCAGCGTTCGAGTTTGGGAAGACTATCTTTTTTTTTTTCCCCCCCTAAGAATGTTTTTGAAGTTCAGACTTCCTTCAATAATTTCCAACCCATTTCTTCTGCCAAACGTATACTCCTCTTCCCATACTCTTCCAATCACTCCTTACAACCTATGCGCTCATTTTGCCAATGAGCGGGAAATCAAGCTTGGTGGAGGGGCGGGTGGGGGCGGCACTCGGATGCCTGGGCTTGGCTAACTCGGGTTTGACCTTCGCGGTGCTTGAGAAGACAAACGAAAAAAAACAAAAAAAAACAAAAAAAAAACCTCAGGTGAAGAAATTTCCAAAACGTATCTAAAACTGCGGTGGGCTCTCCACAGGCTGCAAGTTTTTAAAAAACATCTACCAGCAGAAGAGACCCACCAGCACATCTCCACCGGTCCCTAACGCCAGGAACTTTCACCCACATTTCACACGGTTAAAAAGACAGGGAAACCGAGGGTTTGGGGGTGTTACTTCACGACGCCTTCATCAATGAATGGACCGGTTCGCCTTCAGCCCGCGCCCCCACCCACCCCTCCGGTTCAACCAGCTCCTTCTCCAGAATGCGGCGTGTCCGGCCGGGTGCAGCCCAGCTCCGAGGAGGCTTCCCCGCCTGCCTGCCTGCCTGCCTGCCTGCCGGGAGGGCAACAGGGGCGGCCCCGGGGGCAGCCGCCAAGCCCCCCTCCCGGCCGGCTCCGGTGGGGAGAAAAGTTCCCAGCGGCCGCTCCCTCGGGCCAGGCCGGCCCACGACCCGCCCAGCGCGGCCCGAGGGTCGCGCCCCCGCCGGGCGTTAACCCGCTGCGGGCCGCGGCTGGGCGAGGAGGAGGAGGAGGAGGAGGAGGAGGAGGAGGAGGAGGCGGCCGGGCAGGGGGGTGGAGTTGTCGCGTCTCCTCCCGGGAGCGCCCGGGCAGACGCCCGGCTTGTTTACAGGCCCCAAGGCCTGCCCGCCCGCGCAGGCCCCGCGCCACCCGCCGCCCTCCCGCCCTCGGCCCCGAGCGCCGCGCTTACCCGGAGCAGCCGCGGGCGGGCAGGTCCCTCGGTCGGCCGAGGCGGCGGCGGCGGGCAGGGGGCGACGAGGGGGTCCCCGCGGCGGCGGGCGGGCGGGCGGCCGACCAGGGCAGGAGCCGGGCTGCGTCCGGGCCCCCGGCTCTCGGCGCCCTCGCGGCTCAGATCATCCGGGCGTTGGAGCGGGAGGCAGAGAGCGGGTCCCGAAGGAGGAGGAGGAAGAGCCGAGGCCTCATCGCCTTCGCGCCCTCACCTGCCTGGCGTCCCCCCTCCCCCCCGCCCCGACCACCCGTTCTCCCTGCCCGTCCCCCCCACAATCCCCCGGAGCTGCGAGCGCCGCCGGAACCCCCCGAAGCCGCGGGGCCGGGCCGGGCGCCGACACCACTGCTCGCCAGCTCCCGCGCGCGCGCGCGCCCGTCCCCAGCGCCGCCGCCGCCGCCTCTAGCGCGGCCCCGCGCACGCGCGCGCTCGACGGCCGCCCTGCCCCGCCCCCCCCCGCCGCTGCCTCCCAGGCCGGCCCCGCCCCACCGCGCCCCGCCCCGCCCCGTCGGGCCCCGCGGCCCCCGCAGCTGCGGCGCGCCGGCCCGTCCGGCTGCTAGGGACCCGGATGTCGGGAGGGCCGGCACTGCGGCGGCAGCGAGTGGGAGCGCGGTGACGTCACCGCCGCGCGCTGCGTCCTGCCGGCGGCGCCGAGGCTGAGGAGGGCGGGGGAAGCTGTGGGCTTCGCGAAGCCGGGGCGGAGGCCGCGAGGCCGCGGAGTGGATAGATCTCCGGGGCCGGGAGGGCTGCCGGGGCAGAGAGGGCTGCCGGCCCGAGCCTCCCGGGGCGGTGTGCGCTCCCGGGCCGGCTCTTGTCCCAGGACGCGAGCGGCTGGCTCGCAGCGCAGTGGCCGTGTCACACCCCCCTCGCTCCCCCGGCTGCCCTTGGGACGGACGCCATCGTTCCCCTGCGGCCTCAGCAGGCTCCATCCCGGGGCCGCACACCCAGGCCAGGGCGCTTGTCTGGAGACCCCAGCGGGTCTCCCTCCAGTTCGTGGGGTTCCTCAATACGTGGATTGGCATGAGTTACGTCCCGGGCGAGGAGGGGGACCACCTCCAGGGAGGCTAATGGCAGAGGCACGGAGGCTGGGTGACCCGACAGGTAGCAGCAGCTGCCCCGCCTCCCGTGGAGAGCTGGAGCTGAGCGCAGGTGCACGGAAACTGCGCGTGCAGGTCTGGCTGGCTAGACCGCGGCCAAGCCGGCAGAGCCCTGTGCGTGGGACTGGGCGCCGCGCTCCTGTCGCGGGCTGAACCTGCTCTGGGCTCTGCCTCGCCCCCACCGACACAGAAACAGGCCCAAGTGCAGCATCTGTTTTTGAAAAACGCGTTTAGGAAAGAAAAAAAAAAAAAAGCCGTTTGTACAAGGCGGATACTTTACACCAAAACTATCAGCCAGATTGAGTTTTAGCCAGAGAAGGTGAATTTGGGGTGAGACTGGTTTCCAGTTCTGGAGCACTCTGCTCTCACTTTGTCTCCTGAAACCAATGGGCTATCTTAACCCTTAAAAAAACAGCTAAAATCGCTAAGCTGCCTTTGCAGCCGCAAAAGCCACCTCCACTTTTTTTTTTTTTTTTTTTGACAATGTTTGGTCGCTTCACTTTTGGAGCAGTGACTGACGACAGACCTTCAGGAAACTCCCAAATCACTCTACCCAGTGCCTGTGGAGAGTTCCTAACAATGAGGATGGATCATTTCCAGGTATGTAAAGTAAAAATAAAATCGAGTGTGCATTTGGTCCCAGTGTCATCTGAGGACACGTTTCCTAATTCGCCATACAAGTGCCAAAAATAAATAGATCAAAGACCCTTGCAACGCTGCCCGATTGGACAAGTAGCAGCAGGAGCAGCGTGCTAGTAGATTCATTAACATTGTGAAGCAGGGAAGCCCCTGGGGCAGCTGCTGGAGAATTCCTTAGGAAAAAAAAAATGCTCCTGTTTGTAAGGCGGGAGTGAATCCCTGGAGAACTCGAAGATCCTGTCTGTTCGCTCCTGTCCTTCCTTCCCTCTGTAGTCTACACTCAGAATCTGGGTCAGTTGTGGCAGAGGTGGAAAAATAGACACTGAACGCACAAGAGATCTTTACAGAGCCCCGCACAGTGTAAGCCAGACTGCGGGTAAAGCTATCCCTTTCTGCTGTTACTTCAATACATAGCATCAGGATATTTCGCTAAGAACTAGAAAATACATGGGCTGTAACTGTAAAATGGGGAACCAGAATATTCTTAATATTGTCTGATTGAAAATGCTTGAGGTTGTATCTCCCTTTGCTGTGACTAAGTGAGATTCTAAAGGGGGAATAAAGCTGAGTATTGGGTGGCACGGAGAACACGGGAAAGAGACGAGTTTTTCTCTTTTGAACCACAAGGGACTTTGCTGCAGCCCTAATCCACATCCAGGATTTTCGCAGGATTTTTTTTGTTTTTTGTTTGTTTTTTTTCCCCATGACTGAATGTTTATAGGTATGTTAAAATCTTAACTCTGGTTTAGAAATGTTTGCTAATAATCCTTGTAATCGGGGACCTGGGGCGAGGACGGCAGCCCTAGAAGGGAAGCTGAGCCTTCCCCTAGCAACGCTCTCCACCCCCCCTTTCCCTCCATCATTATCACTGAAGAAACTTCTCACATTGCTCTCAAAATGTAGCTTCAACAGCACCTCCCAGGGGCCAGCTGAAAATCCCTCTGCCCAAGCCATCCCAGTATGTCACAAGGAGCCCAGGCACAGCACCAGAGTTTCAACCCATCCTCCTCCTCCTGGTCCCCTACCTTGTTCACGGGCCCTCCTCGCCAGGATCCTCTTCATCCGCTGGCTCCTTCTCCCCTTTCTTCTCCGCTCCTTCCTCCTCTTTCTGCTCCCATTCTGTGCTCTTCTACTCTCCCTTTTTCTACTTCTCCTCATTTTTCCTGTCCTCCTTTTCTTTATCTTAGCCCAAAGTGCAGCTTCTACCACCCATTTTCTCATCGACCTGATCATTTGAGAAGATGCTATGCCTAAACTAACTTAAGTTGGGTGGGGGGCTACCCCCCCACCCTAATCTGCCTCCCTTTCCCCTACGGATATCCTGCTATGAAAAACTCTGCTCTCCCAAGGACAATTCCAGAATGAGAGGCGTCAGAGAATCCCTGTTGTTTGTGACATCACTGGGGCAGCCGTGTAGGGTGGGGCAGCAGGGGCGGCCATCTTTGACAGTATGCTGAGTCCACTGGGGCCCTGGGGGAAATGTGGGGAACTGCAAAGGGGGAGGTTTTCAGCTCAAGGTGGGAGCAGAGCCTTAGCGCTACTGTGGGTTGCATCAGAGAAGTTGATCTGTTAAGCAGCTGTGCGCCAGGCATTGTGTTGGATACTGAGGGTAGACAGTGGTGCCAACAGACAGGGTCCCTTGGCCCATCCCCCACAAGGAGTTGATGTTAAAATGAGGTAGACAAAGATGTCAACAAAGAACCATGGCCTTTCAGAATGTCATCAGTGCTGTGAAGGCAATAAACAGGTAGAGGAGGTAACAACACAGGTGCTCAGGGCAGACCTGTTCAGGCAGGTGGCATTTGAGCCAAAGGATGTGGAGGAGTCTGCAGAGAATGGTGGGCAGCTTCCCTGGGCAGAGGGATCAGTGTGGGCACAGGGCATGATGCAGAAAAGAACTTGGTGGAAGAGAAGTACGCCACAGAGCAGCTCAGTAAAACCAGCCAGAATATTTACAGGCATTCAAGGTGAGGTAGTGATTGGGACACTTGGTCTAACAATTAGGAAGTCATTTCAGAGGGACAGCCCATACGGAGTAATTGGTGAGTTGATTGATCTAGCCCAAAAAGCAGGCAGTTTTGACAAATCAAAACTAAGTTGAAACTGAAAAGCATTCTACAACCTGTTAGACAACCAACAATATACAATTTACAGGGAAACAGTAATTCTAAGCTTTGAAAAGTTAGGTTTTCTCACGATAGAGAAAGCTGTTCCAAGACTAACATAGGGTGGGTATCTGTTGCTATAGGCCAAGCTGCCACTTGGGGCATCTGCATCCCGTAGAGGAGTGTTCGTAGCGGTCAGGGTGGCCCCTGCACTGCTGATCCAACTGTGCTCTTGGCCAAGAGAAGCAGCGGATGCCACAGGTGCTCACTGGGGCCTCTGCCACCCAGAATGAGTTCCTGGCTTCTGGTTTAAACCCAGCCTAGTGGTGTGGAGAATGAACCAGCAGATAGAAGATCTCTTTCTCTCTCTCTCCCTGTAGAGCCTGTAGCCTCTTCTGGGTCTCCCAAGCAGGTGCAGGGTCCCAAGGCTTTGGCCATCCTCAGCTGCTTTCCCAGGTCACAAGCAGGGAACTGGATGGGAATCAGGGGCCTCCAAGATTAGAACCAGCACCCATATGGGATCCCGGCATGTGCTCAAAACGAGGACTGGGCCCTAGATCATTAGAAATTTTGCAGGCCTGGTGCAATGGCTCAGTTGGCTTATCCTCTGCCTTGGAAGCACCGGGATCCCATTTGGGCACTGGTTCATGTCCTGGCTGCTCCACTTCCCATCCGGCTCCCTGCTTGTGGCCTGGATGGGAAGTGGAGAGTGGCCCAAAGCCTTGGGATCCTGTAACTACATGGGAGCCAGGAAGAAGCTCCTGGCTCCTGGCTTCAGATCAGCTCAGCTCTGGCCTTCGCTGCCACTAGGGGAATGAACTAAAAAAAAAGGATGGATAATCTTTCTGTCTCTCCTTCTCTCTATAAATCTGCCTTTCCAATAAAAATAATAAATCTTTAAAAATTTTTTACCAACTGTTTATTAAGTATAGCCATTATTTAAAATTATAACACCAATTTATAATAATTAAAAATTCAAATTAAAAATAGTAATTTGAGAATGAGAGTGGCAGACCAGAATGTCCTCCAACTACTAGTTTAAGCTCCAAATTCCTGCAGTGCCCAGGGCTGGTCCGGGCCAAAGCCCGGAGCTGGAAACTCCTTCCCCAGAAACCCAACTCCCTGAAGCAACCCTGCCCACTCCCAGGTCCACACCTGTGGGACACTGGAACTGAAAAACCGCCAAAGCCAGGAATCCAACCTTGACATGTGCCACAGATTCTGTAACTGCTAGGCCTCTTAGTAAGTATTCAGCAAAGGAA